GAGATGTCAGTGGTTCTGACCAAGGTTCGAGCCACTTTCCATGGAAGGTCATTGTTTACCCTTTCCACAAGTACACAACGGTGAGCTTGCCCAGCGTTTCGAGGAAGACTAACCGGAACAATCGTTTCCGATCTCGGCGGAAGAACAATCTTCTTAATGCTGTACACATTCCCTGGTAACGCACCTTCCATAAAAAGTTCCTCCTGTCCACATTTCAAAACACCTTGCTTAACGTCGATCTCACAACAATTATTCCTCATAAAGTCTAGGCCCAGGATGCAGTCGTCCATTATATCAGCCACGATGACATTATGCAGGTAGATCACGTTGCCTAGCTTTAACTCCATCTCCTTCTCTCCACGGACGGGTATACGCTGACCGGTGGCTGTTACCAAATTAATGCGTTCTCGGTTGTATGCGGAGTCCCCAAGGAACTGGATTATAAGTTGGGAACTAACAACCGTACGAGAGACCCCAGTGTCTATGGTCAGTTTACACGGCATTCCGTTGACCTCGCCCTTGATGATTAGACTGTTCCCATCATGGGTTTGTGAGATCGAGATCCTTGGGGCTCTTTTAACATCAGCCAGCACCCGCCCCGCAGTTCTGGCTTTTACTCGTTTCCCTGCTGCTGCTGGGCGGTGCTTTTGGCCGCACTAACCTCCTGGGATCGTTCAACTTCCCTTTCTAGGGTTCGCTTAGGGCAGCTGGATCGAAGATGGCCCTTTTCCCCACAGCCATAGCCCCTAGGGCTGTATCCTCTGTTGCGGTCGCGAACTGTAGCTGCTGCAACCTCCCTGACGCGATGGGAACGATGATCCTGCCGCACAGCTTCCACTTCCCGTGCATGGGCCAAGGCGTCCTTAAGCGTCTCGTGGTGCCCGAGCCTCACAGCAGCTCTGACTTCCAGGTCGCGGATGCCGTCGATGAATGTCTGCACCAGGTTCCCTTCAATGAGCGCAGGTACAGACCGGTATGCTTTCCGCACCAGCTTCTCCACCTCTAGAGCCCACTGCTGCAGGTTTTCGTTGATGCGCTGCACGCGATCTTTAAGCTGCGCACGAAAGACGTGTTCCAGGTGAGCGTCGCCATATCTCGTCTCCAATGCCTCAAGGAGTTGCTTATAAGTCACTTCCTCCCCGAGAGCTTCCAGAACTGTTAAGGACTGGTCGCGCAGGCCTAATGTGAGAGCAGTCATGGCCTGACTTTTATTCCAGCCATTCGCCTTCATAACAGCCTCGAACTGGATTTTGTAGGCTGACCAGGATGAAGTCCCGTCGAACGGTGGCATTTTGAACCCACGTAGCGAAGGTGTAGTAGCTACTACGGGAGCTGTAGTTCCATCTCCAAGTTTGAGTTCGTCCAGTGTTTTCTTCATGTCAGCCATTACGTTGTCAACCCGATTGTTTACTTGGTCGATTCGGTTTTCAGTTTTCGCGATTTGGGTTTCAGCTTCCGACAGGCGGTTGTCATGCTGAGCAACCCTATCTTTCACCTCCTTTATCTCCTTTCCGAAGGTAGCGTGAAGGTCCTTCATGAGGAGCATCTGCTCTTCCAACTGACGGGCCTGTTCCTCTTGTCCGCCCCGCAGCTGCTCCTCCAAACGACGAACCTGGTCTTCGTGTCGGCGGGCCTGTTCCTCTTGCTGCTCTTTCAACCAACGAGCCTGTTCCTCCTGTCCGCCCCGCAGCTGCTCTTCCAATCGGCGTGCCTGTTCCGCCTGCTGGCGAGCCTGTTCCTCCTGTCGGCGAGCCTGTTCCTCCTGCTGCTCTTTCAACCAACGGGCCTGCTCCTGCAGCATCACCATCAGAGCACTTAAGTCAGGTGCTGCAGATGTAGGAGCTACTAACAGGCCTGCAGCCGGTGGCTGCCCTCCGACGTCTGCGGCGTTGCACCACCAAATGTTCTTTGGTCCGTATCCTGCTGGCGTTGACTTCGGGTACGGACACCCTCCGTTTCCTCCTTGGGTAAAATCGGCATGATTTTATCCCACTTCTGACACAAATTGTTACAAGCTTGAGGTTCGTGACAATAAAAATTGCCGATAAAATTACCTAAATTAACACTTTAATTTTCTTTACACAAATTTAAACTTAAAACACTAATAATTAATCACACTGATTCACTTTATTCCGCTCCGAAGCTTCGCTTGTCTCGCCAAATTCAATACTTCCCCGATCGCGGATTGCAGCGCCTTTATATAGGGCTCTTCCACGAAAACATCCAGAATATTCGAGCAAATACGCGCGCCAACCGACCAAGCGCAGAAAGTTCGAGTTTGGGGCTTCCAGAAAGCTTAGTTCTTCAATTCGATACTAGATGGCGCTGTCGGTTGAAAGATTAGTGATGTCATTTTCTGGAAAGCTCTCTCTTCGCTCTGTTACCCGACACTAGATGGTGCTAGTGCCAGATGTCAACTTAGCCGTGCAATATTATATTAACAACTTTGAATAATAACCAGTATTCTATCTGCAAGACTTCATACAAAGAATTGATCACCATTGTTTTGTAAAAATAAAGCAATAATTGATTTCTTAGAGATAACTTTCAATAGGCACCTTATAACCATGCTTAATAGTTAATAATAATCAGCCCTATTAATAAACACAGAGTTGAGCAAGATTAACTTTACTCCTAGTTTAAAGCTTAAAATATCTAATTTCAGAATTAATAAACATAGAGTAAGGAGTAAATTAATCCGAAACTACTCTCGGAATAAAAATTAATCCTTGGCGGTACCTACATAGGCTGCACTAAAAGTATCGGGAATGGAACGAATTTCACTGTTCCTGTCATATTAAAATCTTTTTAATTGAAAACTCCTTGGTTTTAAAAATCGAATACCATTTATTTATTTAAAAAAAGATTCTCGGTCTTGTCACAAGGTTTTGTCAAACTTGTTTAGTCGTTGAGAAAATGGAATTGAGTCGAGAAAATTCCATCACGACAATGCGAGTTCTCACACCGCACACAGAACAAAAGAGTTTTTAGAGCAAGAAAACATAGAATTATTAGACCATCCGCCGAACAGCCCCGACCTAAGCCCTAATGATTTCTATACTTTCCCTAAAATAAAGAATAAATTGCGTGGACAGAGATTTTCATCACCTGAAGAAGCCGTGGACGCCTACAAAACGGCCATTTTGGAGACCACTTCCGAATGGAATGGTTGCTTCAATTATTGGTTCCATCGTATGGAAAAATGTGTCAAATTTCGCGGAGAATACTTCGAAAAGCAATAAATACATTTTTAAATAGTAATGTCGTGTCACTTCCCTGATTCCCGAAATTTTCAGTGCCGCCCTCGTAGTTTAACGCTCAGTCGTTAAACTACGAGGGCGGCACTGAAAATTGAAACTGAAAATAAGCATAGACTAGTCGCGTATTTTGACGTTTTGTAAAACTTTACGTTTACGCTCGTTGTTACCCGTGCTAAATTCATAAGTTGTAAGCACAAGTAACAAAAACAGCATAATAGATTAAAATGCCAAGAAGTGATGTGGAGCAGAACAAAGTGATTGCAGGTTTTTATTCATTATATGGATTTAGACAAGTGATACAGTGGCACATTGGCAAGGCAGCACACATGACTCAAGAATATTTAACGAAAGTCGCATTAAAACAAATGTTGGAGCAGTCGGAATTTAAAGGCAGACTTCTCGAAGATTCTGGTTATGCTTGTACTCCTTATTTATACACTCCTATCCTGCGTCCTAATAACAATGAGTTCAAAAAGAAGGAACATGTGACCCATCTTAATATTTTACTTATAACTTTTTCATACAAGAAAAAGTAGCGCATCTGTCATAATACAAACGTCATATCACACGACGTAACCAGAGTCGGATTTCGTAGTATAATTATCCTAATTGTACCATTATTTCATAGTTTATAGTATATAATATCGTAATAATACTAAGAGAAAATACCATAATTTTACCTAAAGGTCGATTTGTATTATTATTGGGTCCTTTTACTTTTAAATATTAACCACGATATCGAGAATTTCTGTATTGTACATGAGTACCGCATTTTCTTTAAATAAAATTAGAATTAACACCCTTTCTGGTCAATCAGTGCTCGATCGATACATTTATGTTGCATCCTTAATACAACTTATAATGAAGGGCTACCACGATAAAAACTCCATGATCCAGAAGCAATCAAGTTTGAAAACAAAATTTTAAAATATTTTATGAATTAGATTTTCAGATTCAAATAAGCAGATATGGTTTCTATTGTACTCTTTTCGTTTTACCCTTATTGAATATAAAATATATTAGTACCACCACAAATATTCAAAATTTAACTTACACTAAGTTCTTTAGACAGAAATAAAAATAAAACCATCAAAAACGAAACGAAACGTGCACATGGGAAAAAAGAAACATGAAACGTCAAACATGATATAATTTTTTAAAAATAGTTTTATTTTATTTAGCATGTACAATATTTTTGAGGGTCTGAATCCAACCCTGGCCTAATCTTGGTAACGCAACTAAACTAACCGTAAATTAAAACTTTTAAAAATGCGTTTATATAATAATTTTATTGAAACAAAATTAATATAGAGTTATTAACCGATGATACGATATCCCTTTTTAATCTTTGTATTGTATTTTTGCATCCTTTTACCACGCAACTAGACATATTTATGACAGGCAAATCTGTCCTGCGCGCGCACCACTGTCAGTTACTCTGAGATTAGCTAGTCCAAGTGTAACTTCGAATTAAGCTTGGAATAAGCGATTTTTATTATTAAGGCAGAATAGGTATAAATTATGAATAACTTTCACAACAACACCAGTCTAAGCTTCCCCTACGCGCCCGTCCTAAAAGAAAACGCAGACAGAAAAAGCTACAGCCAATAGAAGGCGCCGCATTGTTGTCGTACATGCACACATTGAATGGGAATAATAGTCACTGAACTAGTAGTATAATGGTGTGATTCGCTGTTGATACGTTCTAGTAGGCCAAATAGTGTAATTATGAAAACTTACAGTTCCTGGATTAAGTTTGACCCATGAGCTCTCAGCTACATTTTCCATTACCACTTCTTGAGACCTCTTGTCTAATACAGTAGACAGAGCAACCTGAAAAAAAAAACCAAACACTAATTATTTTCATCTGTTTTGTTTATATTTTGTACATGAATGTTAATTATTAATTTATTGATGGTAAAAACTATGAATACTTGTACTGGCTAATAAATCAATTATTATTTGTAATACGAGCCCTGATCGCCAGTTTATCGTAAGCGACATTTTTACCGAAATCGCGACTTAAATCGTAAACCATACTTAAAAGTATAACGGGCAAGGCTACGTCATTTTCCGCCGAAATATATCCATTAGAAAGTTATAACAAATGCGAAGTTTATCGTTAGCACAACTGTTATATTTAAATGTAACCGACGTACCAATACTTTTTGTAAGGTATGTAAGTAGTCAACTAAAATTTGCAACCTAACCCGACTAGTTATCGTATCCAACATAGTATTGATTTTGCTGTTTACCATGAAGCAAAACTGTGAAAAGTGCCCAGAAAAATCTATTCTAGGGAAAGTTTCAATAACCACCCCACTGTGCTAAAAACAATAAATAAGTCATTAGATAAGTTATATTGGACATAACCAGTTTTCACCAATTTTAAAGTAGTATCAGTGTCTAATAGAATAACCTACAGATACTAAACAGGATTTCTTTCACAGAAGTCGTCTATATCTTTTTATTTCTGATAAAAAACGCAAAACGCTATTAACGCTCAACGATAAGGAATATATACATTGACACCACTTGCTCTACCGGGCCTACCAGAAGAGAGCAACACTAATACAATAGAGGATAGGCAACAGGAGAATTTTATGCTTGTTCCAGTTATGACAACGGAAAGTGATTATGAGTAACATCTTAAAGTAATTTTACCGCATGCAATGACATAACCAGTTTTAGAAAATCATCTTTAGAAAATGTAATAGATGAATCCTTTTACTATCAGACTATAATCCTAAACAAAATTATTTAACTTTAGCTGAAAGTAAATTCTTTGTTGATTATAGTCATTACAGGTTTTTGTTGAAGATCAAGAAATTAGCTACTCTTCTGAATATTCCTCCCTATGTGTAATACAAACTGACTTAAATAGAAACCGTGTTATGAAAGTCATGTTAATTTTTCTTCAATAAAGGAGGTTGTCAATTAGAATGAATGTTCTTTTTAACCGACTTCAAAAAAGGAGGTTCTCAATTTGACTGTATGTATATTTTTAATGTGTGTTTCCACAGAACATTTTTCTAGGTAAACTGATTTTGAAGATTCTTTTTTTATTTGAAAATTGGTTGCTTCTCTTGTGGTCCCGTATAAATTTGATCAAGATTTGACCAACAGTTTTGAGTTATCCTTAATAATGCATATTTAATTGCCTTCGACTACTTTGATGATGTTGACGTTTTATTCATAGTGAAGTCAGAAAAAAAAATTACCACTTGTTTGTAAGTATTGTTGCGCGCCTAAGTTGACGTCAGGTACCTGGCACTAGCGCCATCTAGTGTCGGGGACTAGAGCGAGGAGGGCTTCCTAGAAAATTTCAATCTTGAACTTTCGACCAACAGCGCCATCTAGTATCGAACAGAAGAATTAAACTTTCCAGAAGCCCCACACTCGAACTTTCTGCGTCTGGTCGGTCGGCGCCCGTATAATATTAATAATATAATATTATACGGAATATTCTGGATGTTTTGGTGTAAAAGGTGTATTTAAAGCCGCTGCAAGCCGTGATCGGGCAGTATTGAATTTGACGAGACAAGCGAAGCTTCGGAGCGAAATAAAGTGAATCAGTGTGATTAATTATTAGTGTCTTTTAAGTTTTAATTGGTGTTCGGTAATTAAAATGTAAATTTAGGTAATTCCTCAAGCTCGTAACAATAGGTGTCAGAAGTGATATAAAATCATGCCGATTTTACCTAAGGAGGAAACTGAGGGTGTCCGTACCCGAAGTCAACGCCAGCAGGAGACGGACCAGAGACGATTTGGTGGTGCAACGCCGCAGACGTCGGAGGGCCAGCCACCGGCTGCAGGCCCGTCAGTAGCTCCTACATCTGCAGCACCACTGCAGACTTAGGTACTCTGATGGTAATGCTGCAGGAGCAGGCTCGCCGACCCGTTGGTTGAAAGAGCAGCAGGAGGAACAGGCCCGCCGACAGGAGTAACAGGCCCGTTGGTTGAAAGAGCAGCAGGAGGAACAGGCTCGCCGGCAGGAGAAACAGGCTCGCCGGCCGGAGGAACAGGCCCGCTGATTGGAAGAGCACCTGCGGGGCGGACAAGGGGAACAGGCTCGTCGGTTGGAAGAGCAGATGTTCCTCATGAAGGACCTTAATGCTACCTTCGGGAAGGAGATAAAGGAGCGAAGGATAGGGTTGCTCAGCATGGCAACCGCCTGTCGGGAGCTGAAACCGAAATCGAGAAAGCTGAAACCTGAATCGACCAAGTAAACAATCGGGTTGACAACGTGATGGCTGACGTGAAGAAAACGCTGGACGACCTCAAACTGGGGGATGGAATTACAGCTCCCGTAGTAGCTACAACACCTTCGCTACGTGGGTTCAAAGTGCCACCGTTCGACGGGACTTCTTCCTGGTCAGCCTACAAAATCCAGTTCGAAGCTGTTATGAAGGCAAACGGCTGGAATAAAAGTCAGGCCATGACTGCTCTCACACTAGGCCTGCGCGACCAGGCCTTAACAGTAAGCTTCGGGCGCAATAAAGTAAATTAGTGTGATTAATTATTTGTGTCTTTTAAGTTTTAATTGGTGTTAGGTAATAAAAGTGTAAATTTTGGTAATTCAATCGGCAGTTTTTATTGTCACGAACCTCAAGCTCGTAACAGTATGTTATGCAATATCATCGTTAATTAAAAACCGATTCCAGGGAATCTTTCTTTTTTTTTTAAGTATACCACAAGTTTTGCAATATAAATAAAATTTTTTACTCCTAAAGGTGTAAAACTAAGGAATGATGATTTTAATATAACAATTTAGATATCCCAGCTTTTGCTATTCTTTATTACATTAAAAAGGGTAAAAGCTAGACTTGATAAAAGCTGTTTTCAAATACTTAACTAAAAAGTTTAAAATAATTCCCACACGCTTATTAGCTTTTGAGGTCGTAGTAGTATTATTATATATACACTGTGTCTAAAGCACCAATTTTAGAGGCTGTTATGTAAAAAAGACGTATTAGTCTAGATGGTTAGCGCTCGCTGTAAATTTCACAGCACACGAGCAAACCGGGTTCTATCCCCGCCGGCACCAATGAAATTGTTAATTCCTGCAATTTCAAGTGCTGATGTGCTCGGCGGTGTAGGTAAACATCGTAAGAAAACCGGCATGTCCGAAAATAAAGAAAAACTCATAATTCAAAGACAAGTGAAGTTCACCAACATGCATTAGGGCAGCGTGGCGGACACTTCCTTGCTCTAAAAAAACCTCTCAGAAATGAAGAGAGGTTTGTGCCCAGTAGTGGGACCTATATGGAAATTATTTTACTCTTTTTAATTCTTCAAAGTTGGGCTTTTACATTTTAATAAAAGTACAATTTTTTCAAAGACCACAACATTCCTTCCGAAAGGCAAACTATGACTGTTTTAAAATACAGTGGACCCCAGTAATTCGACGAACATTTTGCAGGGCAGTGTCGAATTATCGAATTTATCAGATTATAGAGTAATGCCTAAGACCCGGTATAGTATAGTCCGGAATTTTTTCCGACAAATTACAAATCCAATGATACGATTCTATATGTTAACATATATGTACTCTGAAGTACAAATATTACTTAATTATTTCAAATTCAAACTAAGCAATCAGATTCAATATAATTGATGGTGCGTATAAGTTATAAATTGTTCAATCATACATTAGCGAAGATTGTCAAAAAAAATATTCAATAATAAATAATAGACCATGTGGGATTACAGGGGTTGCCAGATTGCTGGGGTTCCACTGTATATATATTTTTTAAAGAATATGGGTCACAAATGAGCATATAGTTCACCTGATGTTAGGTGGATGCTGCTGCCCATAGACATCTACATTTATCCATATTTAGATTCAAAATGCAGATGCATTGCCACCTCTGAGGACTAAGATGGAAGCCTCATTTTTAGTAAAAAGGGTCTCCGGTTCTCTACACTAACCATACGCTTCATTAAGCTGCTACATTCGTACTACAACTATAATATAGCTACAGCAAGGCACTACCACATATAAACATGTTTATAAATGTTTGCAGCACAAATGGCTTGGCTTAACTGGGGAAGGACCACACTCTAACAGAATACAAGCATAAAATAACAGCTGTTTCGTATGGTGAGTGTAGAGAACCTAAGAGCCTTTTTACTGGTAAAGAGACATACCATTTTAGTCTCTAGGGGTGACAACGCACCTACATTTTGACTCTTAATCTAGTACGGATAGTTGTCTACGGGTTACACGAGACAGCATCCACATCAGATGGGTATGTACTCGTTTCCGTATTATCAGTATTAAAATACACAAGATCTATCTACCAAAAAGAATAAATTTTTATTAATCAAAGTCTCTTAAGAAGGATATACTATTAAAGAATTCATGTTTCATAATAACTCCTGGAATGAGATGATCTCTAGCTTCTGCTGCTTTTAAATGTTTTCATATTTATTTGTACAACATATTTTAGTTAATTAATTGTTAAGCAGGACAGAGAATTTTTCCAAACCAGTGTAATTATGATAAAATTGGGTAAATGTAAAAGTATAAACGACTCATTAAAAAGTATTCTTGTACATAACCTACATTGAATAAAAACTGGTATGTTCCATTAAAATTGATCTCACATTATGTAGAAGTTTAATGCCATTAAAGTCATTGCAGCCTATAAAAATACAAAGTTGAACATAGGCCTCCATCATAAATTGCTCCATAGAGAGGATTTTGCCATAGTTGCCACACTTGGCAACTGCAGTTTTTTATAATTATGAGTTGTTATCAAGAAAACGCTGCTGCCCATCTCCAGGTTAGCTTCCCTCTGTCGCCTCTTACAACACCCACGGACGCTATTAGGAAGTGGATATTCTTACACCGCCACTACACGGGATAATGTAATTAAATATTATAAGAATATAATAAAAAAATTTGCGACGTTTAATTTTAATTAGAGATGTATCGACTAGTCGCTGACTATTCGGAAAAGTCGACTATACCGCCATATTTGTAATCGGCGATTAGTCGGCAAAAAGCGTCGATTAGTCGTCATATTATTTTAATCATTTCTATTTCAAATAAATTAAATAATCTGTATGATAATTAAAATGAAATTTTAACCTTAATAACAATGAAAGCAGTGAAGATTGGCCAAACTACAACTTCATAAATAGGCAAAATTAACATAAATCTTTTGTGATTAGTGAGTACTATATAAGTAATACAAGGTATATCGAAAAGAGTAATATAATATCTGTGTCCAATATATCATATATATATTTTTTATTTAATATATATATATATATATATATATATATATATATATATATATATATATATATATATATATATATATTTAAAAGGATTGTTACATTTATTTACTATAAAATTATATTTTCTTATATTTTATGCCGAACTTGTAGTTTAAATTATAATATTAAATAAATCATTTAAAGTATTTGTATTCTATATTTCATTTCATTCGAAGGTTCCACTTCTGTCGCGTGTAAGCTGCACGCATGTCTTTTTTTGAAGTGAAAACTTCTTTACCATCGTTGTGATTTGAAAATGGATGAAACGAAAAAGCGACGTAAAAAGAGACAGACACATAAATTCGTTAGATTTAACGTGGGAGAAAATGAGAAGAGAAAGCATTATAGATTATAGCTAGCTAGAAAAGGCGTCGCTTACGCGTTTTGTTCAACAAGGTACGAAGGTGTCGTCTGCCTATGGAATAAACAAGCAGTCAAGAATGGCCAAACCTCAACATCGTAATAGGTAAAATTGATATAAATCTTGTTATATATAATATTTGTCTAATATATAATATGTATTTTAATAGGATTGTTATATTTAATTACTATAAAATTAAATTTTATAGTAATTAAACGTATAGTTTAAATTATAATATTAAATAAGTAATTTGCCGTAATATTTGTATTTTATATTTCATTTCATTAGAAGGTTTCACTTTTGTCGCGTGTGAGCTGAACGAAAATCTGTATAATGAACTTTTAATTATATTATTAGCTATAAATATAAGAACTTTTATAGATAATCTAAGATTAGGAGCTTTTCCTTTAAAAAGAATTGGTGTTAAATCAAGAAGACAATTATAATTAACAAATAATGCATTCTAAAGGCGAGTGCCAATAACTCTTAATAAGCAACAAAAGTATTAAGAGTATTATCATAATGAATGGAAGTATAAATCTAGAGGTAGTAGCAATTGAGATGTAAACTCAGTGTATTATTTATTTGGCAAAAATCAGATAATTAGATTAAAAAATTGAGCAATTTATCTAGGATAAACATTTTGATGTACCTATATTTTCCTATAATAAAAAAATATAAAATTATTTATAGTTTATAAGAGGTTATTTGTTCTGAAAAACAACAGAGATTCTACCTTTCTGGCAGCAATCTATAGAATAGAATAGAATAGAATAGAATATCGTTTATTTCTTAGTATATGGTAATTACAGATGTTGAAATTATAGAATGATTCACATATACTACCGTATCCGGTGTAGAAATATTACAATTAGAATAATATTTAACACTTTATAGTTCTTATTTAGACAAATTTATACATTTATAACATTATATAGGAATTATCAATTGTAGATATATATTATTATTATTATTAATACAATATTGGGAGCATTCATTTATGTATAATTTATAAATTTATAATCTATGAAATCGTTAACAGAATAAAAACACATATCCAAGAGCCAAGAAAATATTGCACGTTTAAATTTATTTATAGGCAACTGTCTAATCTGTGGTGGCAGCTTATTAAAGATTGTTATTGCCATGCAGTGGGCATTACGACTATACAAATAAAGTCTTTGGGATGGTGCCACCAATTGGTTTGGGTTTCTGTCTTGGATCCTCTTGGAAACACGTTCATTTATTGGAAATAGATAGGAATATCTCTTAACGAACAAACATATTTCAAAAATATAGAGACAGGGCAGTGGAAGTATCTTTAATTTTTGAAATAATGGCTTACAATGATCTAAATAATTAGCGCACACATGGATCTAATACATTTTTTTTGTGCTTTAAACGCCCTGCCTATATTCACTGAATTACCCCATATAACTAATCCATAGCGAAGTACTGAAGAGACGTACCCATGATATGCACTGAGGACTGTTTCTTTACTGGCTGTGAGTCTTAGTTTGCGAAGAGCAATTCTTCTTCTATTTCTTATATATTGCCAGGTACGGAGAAGTCTCTCGCTGTATACAGAACAAGCTGGCTAACAGAGGTACACTTTAGCAAGACGCGACATTTCGTGGTATCTTGAACTGCGCCATGGGGATTGCTGATACCGCCCGAACTCCGTCCAAAGTAATGATCGGTTTGGCCCTTTTTTAACCGAGTAGTCGGCCAATATCATAGTCACATCTCTAATTTTAATACTTAGTTTTAGAGTTAACTATTCTTTAGGTTTGTATGAATATTTTATGATATTTAATTAAATAATACGTAAAGTTATTAGAATACATACATAATAAATAATACATAAAATACTTACCTACAATTGCAATTCATCTTGTTTCCTAAGAATTTAACTATAATGTATTTTTGAGTCTGTGGTTTTATTTTTGATTAATACTAATATTTTCTACGGTTTTTCCTTAGAAAAATAATCTGTTAAATTAATATTACTTTTGTAAGGAAATTATTATATAAATATTATTAGGATTGGTATAATTTATTTTCATATTATTCTTTTCTCTTTTAATAAAACATGGTTTAATTAGAAAATGTGTATTCATTTTATATATTTTTGTTTTAAATAATAATTTACTTATTGAATTTATCTTTCGATCTTTCTTATCATATAAGGAAATCAAAAGTAGGTCAATGCTAATACATATATATCAATGTTATTAGATAAGATAACAGATGAATTAATTTTATTGACAATATTGTTATCTCAAGGATCCATATTGAAAGCAATTGTTATAATAGAAGGTTTAGGAATAGATATCTGATACCTTTGAAGGTTGTTCCTGTGTTGATATAGTTATTGGAATCATCCATAGTGTGTCATCACCTTGGCTACCATCAGCACAAAACTTTTGCTGAGTCATCTTCAAAACACGGTTTGGTCCCTTTTGCTCCGAGGTAACCTAAAATTGTGTAGTTAACACAGATAAATTATATGGGTTAATTGAAGAAATCACAATGATGTAAGTGCATTTGGTGTCATCATCAGCAATACACTGCTAAACATGGACCTACCCAAGAAATACCCATATATGGTATAGTGATTTTAAATTACCACCATTATATTTTTTTTATTCAATACTAAACAAAGACCTAAGGTACCCAAATGTCGACAGCTCACACACTGACACTACATACACATCCCATACACAATCACCAGTAGTGGATGGGAAGCAAAGCACTGTGATAGCGGACAGGAGTAACATGCAATGCTCCCCAGACCGTATTTACCATACACTATCACTGACAAGAGTTGACACCATGAGGCATAAAAGGCTAACAGCACAGAGCACAGACATTATTGAGGAATAAAGGCTGCTCTGTATCATGATTGTGGTATTTAGAAGAACTGTATATATATGTGTATGTATACCTAGTCCGGCCATAAGTTCTGTTACAAATTAAAATGTATTTTTTTTTAATGAAGTAATGTAATATTACTAAAACTTATATGTATGTTGTGTATGTTTGGTGGCTAGTGTATCTTAGGGGCTCGTGTAGGGAAGGAATTGAAGTAATTGTTCACATACGTAGTAGTTAATTTATTTTCTACATCAGAGACGCGTGCGTATTCACATGATACACTCAGAAAGGAACTGCTTACTGCACTCTAACCAACCGACTTACAGACTGCAGTCCCTCGTGTGGGTCCCTCAGTGGCGTCGGTCGTTATCGTATTTCATGCGAATTACGTATACATTGACACGGGCGACACGTGTGTTTTTTGTGCGTGTTGTTTGTTAAAGTCTCAGCAAAAAAATAAAAACAATATTCTATTCAAAATGGCCCCTTTGGTTTTTATACAGGCCTTTAATCTGTCTGGCCACGAATCTATGGATTTACGCACTGTTTCCATGAGAAATTTCGCCACTGCTTGCTCCAGAGATTTTTAAGGGACTTAATGTCGACGTGTCATTTAGAGCAAGCTATGTCCTCTAAAACTGACCATAATTTGTAGTCTAAAGGGTTGAGGTCTGGGCTAGTCGAGGGCCAGTCGTCAGCTATTATAAAGTCTGGAATGTTGGTTTCAAGCCTGGCTTGGGTAGTTCGTGCCTTGTGTCTAGGTGCAGAGTCCTGCTGGAAAGTCCACATTACATTTTTAAAAAGTGTATTGCTGAGAGGTTTCACAACATGATCCAAGACTTTGGCTGAAGTTTTCACTCCTTTTTCACAAAAATGTAGCTTTGTGACGCCTTGATAAGACACGCCCTACCAAATCATCACTGACGCAGGATGATGACCACATTGTACCTTTCCAACCACTTGAGCAGCTTCTTTATAAATATGAGTCTACACTTTATCATTTTGCTTATTGTAGTACTCTTCGATCATGAAAATATTTTAATTGGTAAAAAGGATATTTCTGTGAACTTCACCTGCATATCGCGACAGAAGGCCTTTTGATCAATCCACTCTCTTTAATTGTAAAGATTGATTTAGGGCATGTCCTGTATATCGACGATAAGCACAGAGCTTCAGGTCTTGTTTTATAATATGCGACAGAGTCTTAGTGGGAATCTTCACTTCTCAGATCAGATCAGATTCACATCTTTTATGGTCTTCGATTGAGGAAGTGTTGTTGTATCTGTTGATAGTATGATATATGAACATACGGCTGATACCAAGTTTGGAATATGACCGCCGGCTACATACCCACTTTGTGCAAGGCGATTATGGCAATCCTATTTTCTTTAACACTTCATTCCATACTGTAATTTGATAATGAACACGAAAAAATATGTGAAATGGCGTGAAATCGAAAGAACTTTTAAAAATAATGAACATGTTCCAAATTCAAAATAATTAAGAAGTTGAAACAAAGAAAAGTTTTTATATAATAGTATTTATGGCCAGACTAGATATATATAACTATGGCTCAAACCTCATTTGTTACTTAGCAGATGAAATTGCAATTTCTGCAATGCCTTACACATACATCTAAAATACACATTATTATTAAAGTCTCACCTGCACCATGGGGAAACCCATCTGCTTAGTCCAGGTTGACATAACGGCTCCTACAGGTTTATTTGAAGCTTCTTCTAATGCTGCCCATAAATCTTCTGTAAAAGTATTTTTATACTGAAAAATAAAATTAATACACTTTTTATAATATTCCTGTATTTCAGTTTTATTTGTTAAATATTAAGAAAAAAACTGACCATTTTGGACTAGAAAAAAACATTAATTGGTACAGACATAAGATTGTCGCGAAAATGTAGAATATTGTAAACTTCATCAATGAATATCATTCAGTTTGTTTTTAAAAGTAGGAGAAATATAAATAATTGTCCTTAAAAATATAACTTATCGGAATGCAGTATCAAATATCTTATTATTGAATGCATTCGTTAATTATTATTTACATTTCTAAACAAAGAGCATATAATCTAATAAAAAGAACTCTGTGATAACTAAATTTTATTCATACTTTTTTTAAAGTCTAAATCAATTTTGTTCCTAAATCGAAATTAAATTATAGACAATGGCAACCATATACTTATCTTAATTATTATATTAAGAAAAATCTTTCATTTTAAAATACTGCAGATCAATAATATATCGCATAACCTCAAGAAACATAATATTGCAAAACTACTAGATTCTCAGTACTTTTAAATATAAACTTCTTTTATAGAATAAGGGTGACAAATGAGCACACAGTCTACCTGATGGTAAGTGGATGCCGTGCCCTACAGACATTTACATTTATCCTCGATTAAGAATTAAAATGCAGATGCATTGTCACCCCTGAGGACTAAAATGGAATGCCTCGTTTCCAGTAAAAAAGGGTCTCTAGATCTCTACACTCACCATACGAAACACAGCAATATTGAGCTGCTATTTTACACTGGTATTCAAAACTGAATGCCATTCTTTGTTATACTTAACTAGAAAAATGAAACAACATATGTTTCATCAAATTATATTATAAGAGGTTTTACTAGTCCAAGCATATTAGAAGAGTGGTCATTGCTTTTTTGTTTGGTTTTGTATAATTTTTATATTTTAAATAATTACCTGGTGCCTTGTTAAATAAATATTCATGCCTTTTCGAAAGTCATCATCACCAATGTATTTATGTAACATACGTATAACAGAAGCCCCTTTGTTGTATGATATATCGTCAAATATCTCATCTATTTCTGAAGGATGCCCTACCGGTACTTCTATAGGGTGTGAATTCTTCAAACAATCCAATTCCAGTGCTCTATAAAAATATTTAAATATAAAAAATGATTAATAAGATAATTTATAATATAGTGTATTAATACATAAGTACCCGGTTGACCGATTTTGTGACGGCCCAATATACCAATTAAGCTATTTGTAATCATTAATAAACTGTCAAAATTTACCTTCTTATTCTAACGATATTGTAGCAGTTTTTTATTGCCTAAAAACACGGACAAAAAGACATTTTCTAAAAATAAATCCTAGCTAGATCGATTTATTGTCCCCCGAAACTCCCTGCACACAAAATTTTATGAAAATCGTTGGAGCCGTTTCCGAGTTTCCGTATATATATACAAGAATTGCTCGTTAAAGGTATAGGATTTAAGTAATGACCAACAATTTCATCTTTTTCTTTACATTAGTGTGTATTGTAGAAATCCACCTATATTTTATTACAGTCAATTGCTATGATAAAACACACTATGATTAAGAAACTAAAGAAATAACTTAAAAAGTAATCAAGTTAATTATTAAACACTAAGAAGCATTGACAATAGTAAGTTAGTGTTTTTCGAATATGCCATACAAGAGGCAATAAATTTGTCCAATACATTAAGAAATAAGTATAACTCAAAATTTTGTCACATGTCCTTTAATTTTATGTTGCATTTCTATTTAAAATAAGTATTATTTTTAGACCTTATCTGTTTTATTTTTATATCTTATTTGTTTTATTATGTAAAAATATAGACAACATAGGCAACAGATAAGTTGCCTACTTAGTAATAAGTATTTTGTCTATCACACTACAAGGTAAGGCAATACAAACTTAGCAACACTGGATTCCATGTCAAGTTTCAAGTCACCTCACTTCAATAAAATGAGACATTTTACTGGCTTAATACTACACAAAAGGATCTCACTCACACTTTTACAAACTTATTTCTACTTAACACTATAGTTATGTGATCTATTAATTCAATTTTGGTGCTATTTATGGAAGATGTTAAATATACAGTCTTAAAAATTACACCATTGTATTCAAAGAATAATTAATATTACATTCAATTATAATAGGATTTGCCAAACAATGCCTAAGGTGAATGATCCCTTGGTGGCATAATAAAATGTTTATAGTTGTATTTTGTAAACAAGGAGGTCATTCTCCTATAAGTAGGTGGCGATAATCCAATTTTTGTCTCCATGTGCACTTAGTAAACATAAAATGACTTAGCAAATAGCTCTCTTTTCATTAAATATTTTCACACTAGCAAAATTTATTTAAGTATAAGATTAGAAAACAATAGACATGGAGCGAGTAGTGTTTTGCCAAGTACTCTGCCGAATACTCCACTTTAAAAAAACACGGTAGTGGGTGGCGCGCAGTTATTTCCCTTACACAGAGTTAGAGATGAAACAATATGAGTAAATACAAGAACTTACTTGATACTTTTCTTTTGATACCAAGTACTTTGATATCGATACTTTAAAACTGAGTACCAAGTAGTATCGAAAGAAAGGTACTTGTATCGGTACTCGATCAGTCACACATACACGGACACTGTTGATGAGTGTTTACTGATTACTTGGCAAATAACGCATGTTTGACAGATTTTTATCTATATCTGGCGCGAAAATGACTGCTTATAAAAATCGTTTTATCGGAAAACATCTAGATAAATTATTGATCTTAGGAAACACCTAAAAAATTCATTCAAAACATGCTTCTGAAAAAGAAAGAAGCTGCTGATGCATTAACCAGTTGCCAACCTAATGAAGCAAGCCTATATATATATGTATGCATATATCTTTTTTTATTATTGAACTTTGAGGCAAAACAAAATTTTTACGTAGTAAGTCATATTAATTTGCGTAAAACAAAACGAATGATCGAATGCTGAACAAATGTATTGCAGTGTGACCTGGAGCATAAAGTAAAACGTTGTCTATAGAGGCATGCATTAAACACTGTTTAGTGGTAGGGAAATTTAAACCATTTTTTAACATGTGTTTATCATTTAAGTCCATGTCTAACTAAAACACATGTTGGACAATTGTTTAAATGCTTTTTTGTAGTAAGACTGTTAATGGTTAATGCTGTCTTGTTTATTGTTTAGTATATTTAATTGTAAGATAAAATAGTTGAAAAAGTTTTAATGTAATTTAAAAGTTATATATATTATGTGTATCTTTCATAATTAAAATATTAAGTTATAATAACACAAAATACTGAAACTAAATATTTCTTTACTAAAAAGTTTCAACTAAGTAGAATAGGGATCACATTTCTGTTAGGAATCATATTTCAGGTATTTATTTGTTATTTTACACTATCTACCTATTTAAACTGAACCAAGCATTGCAATTCACGACAAATGGCCTTGCAAGTTGCAAGCATTGGACATCACAGGACTCACATAGGTGCAAAAATATGGTCAATTGATCATAGCCAGAATATGTACTTCACCTAAATAACATAATTATCAATTTGCAATGTATTTTTTTACTCTTAATTGACAGTCCTTAGTAACCATGGAAATTCCACCACAACATAGGAAGGAAAAATGCACAGCAATAAAGTTTTATTTAGCTTGCAAGTGCAATTTATATAATTTATAATTATGTAGGCTATTAAACATCTTCAAACAGTCAACATCAAAGGACTGCAACTTCTGTACACAGTACAATTATTTATTGTGAAGGCACATTATAACAAAGCAGTTTATGAATATAAAATAAACAAGAAAAAAATTACTTGCCATTGAAAATTCCATACAGATAAAACTTCAAATATCATGAATACCAATAATGACTTACCTGATATAAGTTTCAGTTACAAATTGTGTCCAAATATCATATTCAGGAAAAAGATGATTTACACATAGAAATTCAACAAACGAAGCATATCCTTCATTGAGCCAAAGATGAGTCCACCACTCCATGGTGACAAGGTTACCAAACCACTGATGTGCCAGCTCATGGCCTACAACTAAAGCTATCCACTGTCTACGCACAGCTGAAGTATGTTCTTCATCAACCAAAAGGCATGTCTCTCTGTATGTTACCAGACCCCAGTTTTCCATAGCACCAGCAGAGAAATCTGCAATTGCTATTAAATCAATCTTTGGTAGTGGATAAGCTATATCAAAGTATTCTTTATAATAAGGTAAGACTCGTGCTGCAACTTCTAATGCAAATAAGCCCTGTTTACTCTTGCCTACGGGTGTATACACTCTAACTAAGACACCATCCCGAGATTTCTTTTCAACATAATCATACTCTCCCACCACAACTGCCACAAGATAAGTAGACATAATAGGGGTTGTATCAAAATGTATTAATTTTTTTCCCCAATTGCCTTTTCCTCTTTCACAGGCATGTTTGAAAGAGCAACTCGATCAGCTGGCACTTCTAACGATATATCAAAAGTTGCTTTAATGGCAGGTTCATCCCAGCACGGAAAACATCGGCGTGCATCTGTAGCCTCAAACTGAGTAACGGCAGCATAGCGTTCTTCGCCACCTGGCGTTAAGTATTTGCTTCGGTACAGACCCTTCATTTTATCGTTGATCTCACCAGTAAATTCACAATAAAGCGTTGCATCGCCCTCGCGTAGAGGTTTTTCGAAAAGTATAATTGCTGTCTCATCCGGTGCAGATAACCGCACTCCCAAAGGAGTGAGCGCCGAATCACATCCTGAATCGTCATATTGTAATGTCACGCTGGTCAAATCCAAATCTAAAGAATTGAGTACTATTTCTTTGGTAGAATTCACAATCTGAAAGTGGAAACGTCGACTAGGTAGGAACGTCACATAGAAACAAGATATTAGCTAACATTTACATTATGATGAAATTCCGTCTTACCGATACTTTCACCTCTGTTTTTCCGTTAAAAGTAAATTTCTCGAGATTTGGAACCAATTGTAATTTGTAATGTTTAGGTATGACATTTTTCGGAAGTCGTTGGAACGGTTTATTTTGGGGCATTGTCACTTTTTCTTTCAAGATCGTTAATGTGGGACAGGCAACAGAAAAATACCGTAATGACCGAGTAACAGAGTGAACTTGCGCTGCAGCGGCACCCGCACCGTTCACGCCGTAACGTAAGCGTAACCCCCTCCCACGCCCCAACACCCGTGACTCAAGCCTAGGATAACGGTATTCTCTACGTAACAAAATATATTGAGTACAATATTGGCGAAAATTGACGTTTTGGGAATAGAACTGTAGTGGATTACGTAGAAGACGTAACAATTGCAGCGTCATGGAAATAATTATAATCTGACGTAGGTAGATATAAACTTTTTGACATAGATATATAATATGCACAGACTAATTTGATAATATGAGGGCAGTTGGGACAGTTACCTCTTATAAATAGTTTGTGACTTTGTGACAGTTACATAGGTACATAATTACTTTCACAGATAACTATATACTAGTCAGAGAATTACTTTAAGCCGACTTTCCACTATGGGATATAATATAATTTATATTACATCTCGAGATATAAATTAATATCACTCACCGTACTTTTAAATAGAACCGTTTTCACTGAGATATAATATATATTACATCCCAAACTATAAATATTTTTTCGATCGACCGAGCGATATTTACATATTATGTTTCACCTCCTGTACCCCGCACACCCTCGGCAATCGTGGGATATAAAGACGGCTTTCCACAATGGGATATAATATATATAATATATCCCGAAATATAAATTATATCCTACGATTATCCTTCACACTGTGAGATATATCTTTTAACCAATGTGCGTTCATCATTGGATGATCTGAGGGCGAAGTGGAGGCGCGGAAGGGTGTGGGGGGGAGGTACAGGAGGTGAAACATAATATGAAAATATTGCTCGGTCGATCGAAAAAGTATTTATAGTTTGGAATGTAATATATATTATATCTAAGTCGAAACGGTTCCATTTAAAAGTACGGTGAGCGATATTAATTTATATCTCGAGATGTAAATATATATTATATCCCATAGTGGAAAGTAAGCTTATAATTTATATTTCGGGGTATAATAAATACTATATCCCATAGTGGAAAGCCAGCTTTACTATTTACTACATTTACAGCCACAGACTACTAAGAGGATACTATAGTTCACATAGAGATAATAATACCTATGGAGGCGCCGTATTCTACTATAGAAATATTAGTTATACAAATATCTATAACATCGATACACACTTGTCAAAAATACTTTTGTTTCTTTTTAACAAAGCAGTAGCTTCATTAGAAATGGGAGACAACAACAGTTTGTGAATTGTTCATTTTGACAACATTTTCGTGTGACGTCATTAGATCTTCCATGCGTGACTGCGTCGCCATGTTAAGTGCTGAGTTTTGTGGTAGATCTGCTGTCAAACTGTTGCATGCTAAAAGTTTTTTGTTGTGTAGTGCAGTTCCTTCATCTTATAGTAGGTGTATCTTCTATTTATATTTTATTATATTACTAGATAACCACCTAAATTTGATTTGATTGTAAATCTTAATTGAGAGGCATTTCTGAGTTTTTGCAAAACTACCGTACGGCAATTGATTTTTAAATTAAAATAATTTTGTGAAGCATAATTAAATCACGTCACATGTTATAAATAATAATAATAATATAGTATATAATATTTGTGATGAATTATGTGCAGATAAATTAATAATAAATATGTATTGATTTTTAAAATAGTTTATTTCATTTTTACTCAACTAATCATTATTATTTTACACTAATAATATGAGATCTGGGATCACCATCTCAGTAATACTATAAACACAAAAGAAGGATTTAATTTCTATCTACACAAAAGCCATAAATCTGTCGGTCACATTTAAGTTATTTGACGATTGAAAATGCAGCCCTGTATCTATGTAAATACCTACAAAATAAAGTAAATTAAGCAACAAATCCAATTATATAAAATGAGAAAAAAATCATATTAGTTAAAATATTGATATCAGCTGCGCATATTGCAACCCTATAAAAGGCGGTCATTTTATGTGCTAGATTTTTGTAGGTAGTCACGCTAATTTTGTAGGTATGCCCAGTCCATATACTTCTAAGTCAGTGATAGTTCATAAAAGATAGCTTGATCTCTGCGACAGCTGTCAGTAAAAATCACGCCTATGAAGTCCTGAATTCCTTAGTAGTACAGACAGTACCTGTCAATGTCATACTTTATGGGCATGCACTAATTAGGTCGGCATGCCCATAAAATATGACATTGACAGGTACTGTAACCCGTAAAAGAGTGTCCCAGAAATATGGACACAATAAGCGAGGCATTGCGATCGATAAGTTCGCTCAATAAAAGTCATTTTCAGTATATTTTTCCGATCAGATGCTAAACCACTTGCACATCCACGCACAATAAGATATTTCTCCATTTTTTAATGTTTCTTTTTGTCAAAAATTACAAAATTACGGAGCATGAAAATTTTCTCACCAATGCCGCGAAAAAAATTTGTACATTTTTCAACCTTTGAGTATTCAACCAACTGGAGAGGCCATGCGCGTTAATTCCTAAACAAAAAATTCTGTCAACATCAGGGGGGCGCAAGAAAACCACACAACTGTATACTTAACTACAAATGCAAATTAAATCGCGTCACTATAAACGCATTGTGTTTGTGTTCATCGCGTTTACGCATACCATCAAATTGTACACGTGTCGATAAACGGATGGCGCTGTCTAAATGCGTAAGCAACGTATGTCGATGTTTTTTATCGATAAACAAATCACCATAGTCCGCATAAGTTTTTATTTGATTATAAGTAATACATAGATAAATAATACCAAGATGTTATTTGAAATTCTTTTTTTAAAGTATTTAGAAATGTTCTTCGGAAAAAACTTAGAAATTATTGAAAATAATTTTATTATTTTGCTACAGGTTTATTTTACAATATGCAGGATAAAATTAAAAACATTTAACAAATCGAAATAGGTTGAGTTAACTTATTTTAAAAATCAGGTTTTTTAAAAGAAAAGTCCTATCAGTTTATCGTCTTAGATGGTGCTAATAAAAATAGTTGTTGATTTTCAAGAGTTATTAAATGAACTGTCTGGAAAATATTTAATAAATTAGGAAAACAAAAAAGTTTTACACTATATAATAGTTTAACAAAGTGAACTTTAAGCAGACAGTTGCTTAAAAATAAAACGTGACATATACCTAGGGCTAAGTATTGCCCAGAAAGATGTTTTGCTTTAACTTTACATTACTATTCACCAAAAGCTTAACAATATGTGCGAAATATCAAAAGTTTTGAAATTGGTCTGCCTTCATCACATACTATAACGAAGTGGTGTACAGTACAATTTATGGCCGACTTGTTTACACAAAAAAAGAGTTAACTGTTTTAAAACTTAGACTAGAGAGTAACTCTGACAAGGAATTATAATGTATATTAGTGATAGATGAAATGAAAATAAAACAATTGACGGAGTACCATGCAAGTTCTAAAAGACATTTTGGCTATATACATAATATAATTTATGTATATAGCCAAAATGTCTTGACAAATATAATTTTTGTACGCCATAAATGGCAAAACATGTAGCTCGTTTTAAGTTTTTTAACACTTGTATTTTATTTATATATCTATATACATATATGACATTTTGTAAAACATGAATAAATAAAATACAAGTATTAAAAAACTTAAAACGAGCTACATGATTTGCCATTTATGACGTACAAAAATTATACTACATTAAATTTACAATAATAATAATAGATATATAAATATATGAAAAAAATTTGATAGGTTAATGGTTTTGTAAACTTAATAAAATATTTTCAAGTAGAATAATATTGGTGTCAAAGGTAATAATAAAAATATTTAATCTTAATATAATTACAGCCCAACATTACCTTCCACAAGTTCAAGGTTGGTACTGCAGTGTCAGATTCATGGTTTTTACAAGCTACAATCCAAGTGTGCCGCCTAAGAGGATCTCTTGGAAATCTGTAATAACAAACCAATAATAGAAAAAATTACTACTTTTTGTGATACTTTATTATAAAATCTAAATAAAAACTACAAACCGGTTCAGCAGACAAATCCGCATGGTTAATTAACTTATCGATAGCTAAAGTTACGGTGTTCATCACTATAGTGCAATACTTTCGGTAGCAAGTCATGCGATTGCTACCGAAAGTATTGCATTGCGAGGTAGCAAGTTTCGATTTGACTTATTTGGCCTGTATTTTGTATAATATTTTAATAAATACTAGTTATCGACTATATTTAATTATATAATATTCAGTATCGTGTTAAAATTGAGCTGAATATATAAATCATTTAACAAAATCCACTACAATCTATATGTAATGATTATTATTCATCACGAACTGATTTAGTTATTAGGAAATATATTTTCGTTAATATACATATATAAATTGTGTAGTAAATTATATTTATTTAAAAATAGATTATTTTTCACTTTATGAACTATGATGGCCACACTTGGTATTGGACGATAATATTCACAAAGTACGACTTTTAATGATAAAATAACTTTACTATTATGTTAAAAATACGCACAGATGAAAAGTCCCATTGTCATTTTGTATACTTGACGTTTTTGATTGTTTTTTTCATGTAAATATCCTGCAATTCGGCATTTTGTCGGAGCTCGATTTACTGGCACGATCACTTCGAAATGACGCAGGACGCGGAGCAACTAGTTTTATATAACGAGTATGTGTCGGACTCTCGTACCTTTTACGGAGGGGTATGCCTTGCGTTGCCGTCTCCTTTGGTTTAATACTCAAAGTATTCAACCAACTTTACAGTACGCAGCACTGACCTCTATATATACAAGTACGCTGGACTGGCTATACCATACAAAATGACTGTGCCAATTTGAAGCGCCGCTAAAGGACGTCTTGAAAAATAAAATTGACAATATGCCAAAGTATGTTGTCTTATTCATATTGTCACATTTAATAAGTCTGTATTTTG